CAAACAGTTGTTGTGTGCAGTTTGGCTGCTAAACAGCAGGTAGTTATGAAACATTTTGCAGAAATGTCATAGTTAAGGAGGTATAATGCACGAAACCAATTAAAATAGACACAGAGACTGTTTAAATAAAGATTAAAATGTAAGCAGTGTCTGTATTTGATAAAGTGATTGGACATTACAGCTGTTTGTTTCTGTTTAAAACAGCCTTTGACTTCAATGTTTTCATATGCTCTACCAACTACCAGCCCCTCCCCCAAAAAAGTATGAGTGAATTAGTGAAGACAGATAAAGAAAATCTGTTTTTCCAGTAAGAAAAAAATAAATTTAATTTGTTTCCCTCAAAACAGTTTGATTTGTTACTTGTTAAAAACTCTCATCTCTAAAACTCTATTCTTGAGTGAGCAGAAACTCCATTCTGTGGCACTCTAGTTTTCATCTGGTGAGTGTGTAAGCAGCAATTGTTTCTGTTCTGGCCAGAAACTCTGAGGATCTTCCCCTCCCAGACTGAGTCTTTACGAAGGCTAACTAGGCCATTTTTTCAGTTCTTACCTAGCCTTTAACTACTGAATAGACATTGCCTCAGACTAACTGAAACCTGGGAAAGACCTTAGCTTAAAAATGCCAAGGTCTCCCACTGTACCCAAGGCCATCCCCAGTGGTCTTGATCTGTGTCTTCTGGATTCTGATTACTCTGGAGGAGAGAGTGATGCTGATGACTTTGTACTGTTCTCCTCACTTAAATCCAAGTCATTTGCAAGTCAAGATATCACCCTGCTGATTGTCATTGGTCCTCTTCTAGAATGAAGGACAACAGTTGTTATCTATAAGCAGGTTGAGGGGGTATAGAAGTCTATACCAGGATTGAAATGTACATAGCGGAGACAGACAAACATGTTGACTCCCATTGGAGCCTACGAAATAAAGAAAGATGACAAACATAAGGATGATAGTTTACTGAATAGAGGTCTTCTGAGCTTCCATAATTTGTGAATCCCTAACTCTGTCATTCATCCTTTGTTCTCAAAGAGGACCAATGATATCACAAGGGTCATATCTTGACTTGCATGAGAACAAGGTATGGTGCACTTAGTGGCAGATTAAAGACGTGCAACATGACATCAAAACCTTTCTGAAAACCAAAGTTCATATTTGTTTTTAGATTACTCTGAATTATAAGGAAAACCTCTGTCTTGATATGAATTAGAGAGAAGTCAACAGAACAGTTGGTATAGGCTCAAGCACCATTCTTCTTTCTTTTGAACAATCTCTGTTCTATGTTATTAGAGTGATAGCTAGGAACAGAAGGATAAATAAATCCCTAAGCCTTGGACCTTGATATTCTTGCTCGGTTTCCTGGAATTCCAGCTCTAGTTTCTATTTGGGATCAGTTTAAGTGGGCTTGTCTCTCTTAAACATGATGCACAGAGCCACAGAGAAGCAAATTCCAGACCCTTCCCTTCAGTGGTACTAAAAGTCATGGGGACGCTACAGGTTGACCTTTTAGCAACCCCCATTTTCCCCTTTATTGGGGTAAGGGGTGGGGAGAAGTGTGCCTCAGCCTAGGGTGGTATCACATATTGAGAGTAATTATATGGGGCCCCTGGGGAAGAAAGGGGAGAGAAGCATATCAAAGGAGACGCTTGATTGACTTCCTAGCAACCCCATATTCTTTTCTAATATGAGTAGGGGGATTGGCATTCTCAAACAGGATAGTAACATGTCAGAAGGACCAGAGAGCCGGTCCCTTTCTTTAAGCTAGAATGAGTCTTTTCTCTTTTAGTTGATGTTTTATTAGCATGAGTGTTTCCGGTAAGCACTATGAGCTCACAGATTACAGTGAGGACACTCCTTTTGGGAGGATCATCATGGGCTGACAATCCTAGCTATCACCTGTGATGGGACAAATCAAATCAAATCAGAGAATACTTGTCAGAGAGACTCAGAATTGTGCTTAGGTCCTTGTAACAGGCTAGATGTTCCCACATCCGAGTAACATATATGAGACTCAGTTTTCCACAGAGGGGGATAGTATTTTAGGACAGATTGGTCACCACCTTTACCCCTTTTTGCTGCTTCACAAATTCACTGCCTTGACAGTGAACTTGTAAAATTGTGACCCAGTAAAATTTACTGTATCAACAAAGAAGAAAAGAGAAATAAAGTATGTCTTCTTGCCTAACCTTCAATGCCTTTCCATCCTATATTTAGGGATAGTTCTTCAATTGGGAATTTACTAACTAAAGCTAGAGCATGTGGAGAAGAAAAAGGATAGAATCTCAAGAGTTTTGTACTAGGTAATTTCTAAGATCACTATCAACTCTAAAACTCCATCGTTCTATGATTCTACAGTTGTTTTTGCAGTCATGTCTCCATTTGGGGTTTTTCTTAGCAAAGATACTGGAGTGGTTTGCCATTTTGTTCTCTGGCTCATTTTACAGATGAGGAAATTGAGGTAAAGAGGGTGAAGTGACTTGCCCAGGGTCACCCAGCTAGTAAGTGCCTGAGGTCAGATTTGAACTCAGGAAGATGAATCTGTGGTGCTCTATCCACGCTGCCCATCTGCTCACACCAACACTCAAGGAAAGTAACAATATTATGAAAGCTTTCCTCCCAAAATTCATTCTGTGTGTCACTGAAATAGTCTTATACAGGGTCGTAAACCTAGATCTGTAAGGAGCCTTCAAGGTCATCTAACCCAGCCTCTTCATTTCACAGCTGAGGAAACTGAAGCCCACAGAAGTTAAGTGGATTACCTAAGGTCACAATAAGGGGCAGAGGCAAGATTTGAACCCAGGTTCCCTAATTCCAAATCCTACATTCTTGTTGCTTAATTTCACTGCCTCCCAAAGGCCAAGTGAAAAACAGGTGTTCCTCCAGGTGTTCCTCCAATTGCTAACCTCAATCATTAAACCTCCTCTGTAAAAGCATTCTATCCGCTGTACCACCTCACTGCCTATTATGCTTTACATAAGGAAAAAAAGAATTCCCTTGATGCTAATAACAATAATAATGTGAGAGGCAAAGAAACGATTATATTTCCATATAAGGACATTGTGAGAAAAGGTAGCTCTAGGTCAGAGGTTCTAGAACCGGCTAAAAGTGGATGAAACTGGTTGTTTGGTTAAAGAGGATGGAAGTAGGTCAAAGGTTAAGCTTTACTTAGAGTGTACATGTGTAATGGGCTCATTAATATTACCTTCTCTGCACAGAGGAGAAGCAATAGCACAGAATTAGACACATTTCATGTTAGCGGGAGGAGAGACATATTATTAAGTGGGAGTATCAGGAAGACTGTAACCCTGAAGAACAGGGACCAATCTGGGCTCTGAAGGGAGAGACAAGAAGGACCTTACTGCATAAAAGGCTTGCTCTGGCATCTGTGGGGGGGTGTCTTTTTTGGGGGGTACCACACACACACCAGTTTCTTTCAAGAATGTAAATAAACGTCTCCTTCGCTCACTTCAGTTTAAGTTTTCTTTTTTTTTTATTTTTTTTTTTTGTGAGGCAATTGGGGTTGAGTGACTTGCCCAGAGTCACACAGCTAGTAAGTGTTATGTGTCTGAGGCTGGATTTGAACTCAGGTCCTCCTGACTCCAAGGCCAGAGCTCTATACACTGCACCACCTAGCTGCCCCTTTAAGTTTTGTTTCTTAAGGGAGGACGGAACTCTGCATGGTATGTTTCTAGGGAAGCAGTGAGCTGTGGCTGCATGCTTGGGCTAAACCCCTAACCCTACCAAGGAGTGACTGAACCCCATTTCTCACAATAATATTAGCTAACATTTATAAGAGAATCAGCTATGTGGCTCACTGGATAGAGTGCTAGGCTGGAGTCAGGAAGACCTGACTTCAAATGTGACCTCAGATGTGCACTAGTTGTGTTACCCTGGGCATGTCTCTTGATCTCTGTTTGCCTTAATCCACTGGAGGAGGAAATGGCAAACCACTCTAGTATCTTTGCCAAGAAAACCCCAAAAAGAATTCTGAGGAGTCGGACACAACTGAATGAAGAACAAATACAAAAGCATGTATAAAGTACTTACTATATTGCCAGGCACTTGCTAAGATCTTTACGATTATTCTCATTTGATCCTCACGACAACCCTGGGGGGTAGGTGATATTATTATCCCCATTTTGTGGATGAGAAAACCAAGGCAAATAGAAGTTAAGTGACTTGCCCAGGGTCACACAGCTAGTGAGTCTCTGAAGTTGGATTTGAACTCAGATCTTCTTGACTCCAGACCCTGTGCTCTAACAGCTGTCCTAATTGCAATATATTACAATAATAATTAAAAAGGAGTATGTTGTGACAGGCAGCTAGGTGGAGCAGTGGACAGAATACTGGGCTTAGAACCAGGAAGACTCCTCTTCCTGTGTTCAAATCTGGCCTCAGATACTAGCTGTGTGACACTTAACCCAGTTTGCCTCAGGTTCCTCATCTGTAAAATGAGCTGGAGAAGGAAATGGCAAACCACTCCAGTAACTTTGCCAAGAAAACCCTAAATGGGGTCACAAAGAATCAGATGGGCCTGAATCAGCTGAACAACTCTGTGATAGAAAGAACATCATTTGGTCTTGAAGCCAGAGGACTTGAGTGTGAGTTTGGGATGGACTACTTAATTTGAGGAAATTTCTCTAATTCTCAGCTTCAATTTCCTCACCTTTCAAATGGGGGCAGGAAAGACTGAATTAGATAATGTTCAATGTGCCTTCCAATGCTGATTTTTTTATGCTATATGTATAAATAAACTGGAATCTCCGTGGTATCTGTCCTCTTCAAAGCTGAAAACGATTGTAGATTGGAGCTACATTTGCTACCTGCATTTAAATAAACTATCAAGTCATCTTTGGACTTAATGGTCCAAATGGTCTGGCAGGATTAAAAAAGAGGCAGCCAGAGGAAATGTAACTGAGGCAAGCTTGCTGCACCAATAAGCGGAAGGAGAAAAAAGTTTGTGGTTTCACAACAGAGAAAAATGTTTAAATTTGCCGAGAAGTCAGAATTGGGTGGCTACATCGACGAGCACAGTTACCCAGCTGGCCTGCCTGAGATCTCCTCTCCTTACTGAAGACAAGGCAGGAGAGAAGGCAAAGAATGCACAGAGGAGAAGAGATGTTTCTGTAGCAGGTGAAGAGGGCTTTGCTGTCCTTGGTAAGTCCCAAGTTGCTTCTCCTATTGCTCTGGTTGTGGCCAGGGTGGTGGCTTCTGCTGAGCCTCTGTCATTTCCTGATTTTAGAGACACATCTGTTGGCATTTGTCACCATGTATTACCCCCTTTGGTTTAGGAACGTGTTTAACTGCTGATGTCTCACAGAACTCATTCTAGTCTTCTCAATTTCTCCATCGGACTAGGGTTATTACTGCCGCTGATCATGTTGTCTGGCACCTTTATTTATCATTGGTGTGGCAGTTCTGCAAAGCACACCCGAGGCATGCTTCCTGCTCCCAGAAAACATACTTGTAAATACAATAGGTAATAGTGATTGTACCTGTGATTTCATTGGTTCCCTGCACTGTCAAGAAGCTCCCAAATGAGGGGATGCCTTCCACCAATTCAGGTTGGTGCCTCCTCTGAAATTTATAGTTTTAGAGAGTTGCCTGGGTCACTGAGAAGTTATATGACTTGATCACAGTCACACAGGCAGTGAGCCTCTACAGAGGGATTTGAACTCTTGCCTCTCCCTCTGCACAGACAATGAAGTGACAGATAAAAGCATGCTTTCCTTACTCCACTAATATTTCAGAAAGCAAATGGCCAATTAATTTTAGATTGGATCTGAATCACTTTCCACGTTTGCAGATTCTACTGAGAATTATTCCAAGTAGCAAGAAATGGATTCTCTAGGTTTGGTTTTGTGGAGAGGCATGGAATGTAGTGGAAAAAGGGATGGCCCCAGTGGCTTGAGACATTTTACATGGCTTAGGTGGGAACTTTGCCTTCCACTCCCTAAGCCTCATTGATCTCATTTGTAAAATGGGCATCTTGATACTTGCATTACTTTCTTCCCTTGGGCTGTTACGAGGTAAGCCATTTGAACAAGAGATTGCAGCTTTAGTCTTAGAAGGAATTTGCTGTCAAGGTCTTCTTTTGGGTACTAAGTCACAGGGTCTGCTTGCACCATACCCCTCCCACCCCCAACGTTTTAAAACACAGGAAATCAGATTAAAGTCAACATCAAAGGCAGCCTTGAAGAGGTAAATAAGCAGAAAAGGGCCAAGTGTAGCCTGAGATGAGTGTAGAAAGGGGTGGGGTTGGGATAGGTAGAGTCCCACTTCTTTGACTTGGTTGGGGAGCAGGGGTTGAAGTTTGTTGTCTGATTATACATAAGTGAAGTTCAGGCTTCAGGTTATTTTTCATTTTGCTTTTACGTCAGCTATGGAGGTGACCTTTTCCCCTAGACTACCTCCCTTAGTTATATCTCAGGTCCTAAGAAAGGAATGTGGTAGGGAGAGAGGGCTAAAAAAGGAAAGAAAAAAAAAGCTGACAAAGACAAGAGGGGTAGGGCAATCTCTGTGATTTCATCAGTGTAGGCAGGGAGGTGGCACAGTAGGTAGAGCAATGGGCTTGGAGTCAGGAAGGCCTGAGTTCAAATCCATCCTCACATTTACTAGCTGTGTGACCCTGAGCAAGTCATTTAACCCCTTTTGCCTCAGTTTCCTCATCTAAAATGACCCAGAGAAGGAAATGCAAACTACTCCAGTATCTTTGCCAGGAAAACCCCAGATGGGGTCATGAAGAGTTAGAAATGACTGGACAATTCCATTTATGCCTTTTTGTTATAGATAGCATTCCAATTCAATCTTTATTCCATGCTAGATTCCAGATGCCCTCAACTCCTGAGAACCTCCAAGGAATTGTAATGGGGCGAGGGAAGAGATTCCTTAGTACTTGCTAACAAGACTGTGGGGGGAAAAAAAAAACAAAACACCGCAAATATACTTTTCATTTGCCCTAGAGAAGCAAGAGGAGGTAGAGCAGGGGCTGAGCCAGTGTTTCTGGTGGACTTAAAGAGATAACATCTGTCAAGTGCTTTTCAAAGCCAGACGTTTTTATTTTCAGTCACATGCAGGGCAGAGTCTAAGTGCACAGGAATTTAAAATCAGCAAAACCACACCTCCAAAAGGACACATCACAAAATTCAGATGGCGGAGTAGCTTTTCTATGACTAAGAATTTTTGTGGTTCAGAGATGACTAGTAGAGGTGATTCCTGAGAACCAGCCAAAGTGAATGTAGGAGCCCAAGAGCCACTCTTGTTTACATTCATTTCAAATTGGCAATCTTAGTTAAGTATATTTAAGAAGTCCAACCCACTGGAACTCTCAGTTCCACCCCTTCAAGACAAGTGACAGGCAAACACTCACAAAGGATCTGGGTGTGTTTGGATTGGTGGGAAAGTTACCAGATTGTATCCTGATGTGAGCACAGCCCCAAACCAATCATCTCTACTTTCTATTTCATAATCCTGTAGGAAGAGCATTAACATTCAAAATGGTGACCTGGAGACACTATAAATTTCTAGTGGTAACCAACATCTGTAATGCCAGATAAGGAGTATAAAGATATAAAAGATCCCAGCTGATGGATATCTTGTGCTCAGGAGTTGGGCCAGTGGGCTAGGCCAATCAGGTGTCCTAAATTTGGCATTAGAAAGGCGAAGCTGCAGGAGGAGAAGGGGGGCATTAAATTGTTGCTGTTACCCAGTCACATCTAACACTTTGTGACCCCATTTGGGGTTTTCTTGCAGAGTGGTTTGCCATTTCCTTCTCCAGCTCATTTTACAATGAGGAAATGAGGCAAAGAGTTAAGTGACTTGCCCCAGGTCACACGGCTAGTAAGTATCTGAGGTTGGATTTGAACTCAAGAATGTGAATCAGGCCCAGCACCCCTATCCATTTTGCACCACCTAGCCCCCTTTAGGTTGCCTAAGGAAGGACAAATTGGCCCAGATCGGAAACAAAAAATGCAGATTAGTGTGGGACCAGCACTATGAGGAGCGCCTACAATTCCAGCCTGGATGAGATGCAGAAACTCAGTCTTTAAAAAGATGAGATAAAGTAAGAGAGTTTTAAGATTCTGAATCATCAAGAAAAGATTAAACTAGCTATAGAATGCTACAATCTACTATAAAGCAGCTAAGAAAAAAAAAGTACCGTATTTTGCTAATGAGGAAGGATTTCTGCTTGACTTTTGGATGACAATAACAACCCAAAAAAGTATATATTTATAGGCTTCTTATTAATTGGCTTTTAATACCTTCCCTTACCCCAACTAATATGCCAAAAACCAATTAACAACCATGTGGTTGGTAAGAGGGATGGTGGAGAATCCAATGAATCTTTAGTAACCTTTACACTACACTTAGCAAGACTCTGAAATTCCCCACCCACAGTCTCACTTCTGAGCAGTGGAAAGATTTAGGGGAAGTGGTGCCATCAGCAGTAAAGCATTGCCTTGGGAAACATTCATCTGAAAACATAGTAGTAACTGTGTCTCATATCACCCATGCTAAATATACACAGAGGTACAGAATGTTATATTCTCACCACATTCATTTTTTTCCAAGGAATAAAAAAAAATGTTGGCATGTCATATACACTAGAGAAAAAGAACTTGAGGTGATAATAGTTCCTATTATTCAGGTTTGGTGAGCTGAAAATTTCTAGCCAATAACTTGATGTCACTTACTAGATTCTGCTGCTTCTAAGCTCCAAAGCATTTAAGAATATTCCCTGATTAGTATATGGAAGGGCAGCTAGGTGGTTCAGTGAATAGAGCACTGGTCCTGGAGTCAGGAAGACTTGTTTTCCTGAGTTCAAATCCAGTCTCAGATACTTACTAGCTGTGTAACCCTGGGCTTAACCCTATTTGCCTCATTTCCTCATCTGTAAAATGAACTGGAGAAGAAATAGCAAACTACTCCAGTATCTTTTGCCAAGAAAACCCCAAATGGGGTCATGAAGAGTCAGGCATGACTGAAATGACTGAACAACAACATTGCATAGAGACTGGGATAGATCATTATAAAGTTGGAAGGTTTGTTCTAGGCCATGTAGTCTAACACTCTCATTTTATAGATAAGGAAAGTGAGGACTAGGGAAGTGAAGTGACTTATCCAAAGTCACATAGCTAGTAATTGTCAGAGGTAGCATTTGAACCCTGCTCCTTTGATTCCTTTGCATTGTACTACGTTAACGACAGTCCTTGTATTTTTTTGATATTTCATTTACTTAAGTCTTCCTCCTATGGCTCATTATAGCGTGGAAGTGATCGTAGGTCATGTCAGTGGAGCAAAAGCCCTGACCACAAGGCTGAAAAGGCTTCAGAGATAGACCTGGTACTCAGCTATGTGTCTTGAGACAAGCTGTGCTGCTTGAGGACCAGCCCAAGTTCTGTAGGCTGACATAAGGATAATGACTTCTTTGGCCTCAACAGTTCTCAAAGGCTAGCTACTAAGTAGTCATCATGATCTGCACAGGTAGAGAGAATCAGGGACAAAATGAAAACGTTGATCCTTCCCATAAGTTTCTGGGAAAAATGCTAAGCTCAAAAGTATGCAAGTCAATCTATTTTCCCAAGAAAGCAATGTTCTCATTAAGGAGAACATTCCTTCCCAAGGGCCTGGTACCCTACTCTTTATAGAAATATTCACAAATGCTCTATTTAGCCAACCATAAATAACTTACTGGCATGTTATACAAATATATACATGAATGATATCCTGGAAATATACCAACTAATCATATATAATTTTGTTTATAATGATATAATATTTTGGGGTAGTAAACAAAGTTCTGAATTTATTTTTTCATAATCTCTTACCTGTTGGAGGGGACAACATAGCAAAAGTGAAAGGAAGACCTTAACTTGGGCCATGAAATCCACAAGGGCTTCTTGGAAGAGATTTGGGAGGGAAATGCTTGATAACTTTTTGCAGAACTGTTCCAAGGACATTTATTTTGATGTTTGCTTTCTCTGATGTTATAGTTAAACCAGGAACTAGGGACCAAATCATGGGTTTTTGTTTTTCCTTTACTAAGGCCAACTTCTTCAAACAGTTTGGGTGATATGTGCCTGTATGTTACCTGCTAAGTGTGATGGGTGAAAGGTGAAATGACTGAGAAAACAAAGGGTCCATCTTTTGAGTATGTT